CACTAACTTTCTGATTTACTTGATTGGCTTCCAAAAGGTATCAATAAGTTATATAGAAATGGCTGGAACCACTGCAACTCGTCAAAAGGCTCTTAAAGAACAGTACCTTTTCTCCTGCACTTGCATTCGCTGCATCAAGTTGGTATGTTCATTGCCTAGTCTAACTAGTGTTCATTAATAAGATTTCTCTGCTCACAAAATTATTAAACTACTGTTAGGGCCAAAATGATGATATCCAAGAAAGTGCAGTTCTGGAGGGTTATAAATGCAAGGACAAGAAATGCAGTGGTTTCCTGCTTCGTGACTCTGGTATATGATCCCTGTCTCAAACCTCATCTTAAACCTGTAAGATTGATCTTTATCTGGTTTACCAAGGACTTCTCCTTTTCTTGTTTTTGCAGGTAATAAAGGATTCACATGCCAATTATGTGGACTCGTTAGGGACAAGGAAGAAATAAAGAATACTGTTCATGAAATCCAATCACTGTCAGAAAAGGCTTCGTTTTCACTTTCATGTGGACGTATCCTCTGAAGTTAGCACTAAGAATGTCTAATCTATGTTACTATCTGTAAAATCTATATAATAGTCTTATAGATATTCTTCTAATGTTAGAATAATCATCATGTTAATACTACTTCTAACAATGTGTTGAGCTAATAATTTCCCCTCTAAGTCATCACGATTTATATTACGCCATAAGAGGAGGCACTTTTGATCAGTCCACTTTAGTTGGTATAGAATTGGGGAAGTGACATGTTCCATCAATTACATTTAAAGTTTATATTTATTTTTTATTTTATTTGAGAACTCTTTGACAGAATACAGATAATAAAGATGCTAGTGTAATGTATAAGATGATTGAGAAACTTCAATTGAAGCTGTACCATCCATTGTCGATCAATCTGATGCGCACACGGGAGAAGCTCTTAAAGGTTTGATTACCTTTAATGTAGTGTCTATTAGAAGAATGTTCTCCACCCTTGTTGAATGGTGATTCTATTAATGAAATCTCTTTTTTGATTTCCTTTGAAGATATCGACATCAATCTTGTTCCAATCTTCTCTTGATATTTTATTGCACCTGATATATGGATATTTATTCATTTAGACATTGATGGAGCTGCAAGATTGGAAGGAGGCACTAAAGTATTGCAGATTAACTATTCCAGTTTATCAAAGTAAGTTGGCACTACCTTAAGGCTCATGATATTTCTATTCAGTAGTCACCATATCAATGCTTTCTCTTGGCATAATAATATAATAGTAAGTGAGGTTCATTTAAAATCTACTTTTTCTGAACCCTATATTCTTCAATACAAGTACTATGACATCGTGCGGTTGGTACGGAGGAAAACATTTTCGATGGAAAACAAGTGGTTTATTACTTTTTTTCTTGTGTTCAGTGTGCAATTAAATATAGGTTGAGGAGGTGGGGTTGTGGTGGAGGCCTGGGGGGTTGGGGTAAGGGGTGCAGAAAACGCAAAATGCATGTCTGCACCAGTATTTTAAAAGGCTGGAGTGGGAGGTGAGGCGAGGCGTCAGCCCCATGGATAACTTTTTAATTTATAATGTAGTAAAATAGTATAACAACATAAAAGTTACAAAAAAATGCATTAATAATTTAAAAAAATTAAAAACATGATTAAAGCAATTCATGGGGAATAAAACGACTAATGTAATTTTATAAGTATAAATAATCCAAGGATATAAAAGCATTATGAGATATAAATTAACTCTTAACATCTTAACTTCCAAACAATCACAATTTCTAAAAATATATTACTATCATACTATGCAATTTAGCCCCTCTCCCCCTCCCCCCCCCCCCAAATAAATAAATAAATAAATATATATTAATAAATTTATTAGTATTATAATTAAAACATCACTTCTTCACGAATAAACACAAAATTACTTTTAAATACCAAAATAATAAAATATGATGATTTTAGACATAAGATAAAACATAAATTAGTAAGTGAGCAAATTAAGTGAACTTAGTCATGCTCTAATTTCATATTGTACTATTTCTTCTTTTAACAGGAGTTTATCCAGAATGTCATCCTTTACTCGGACTGCAATACTACACTTGTGGAAAACTTGAATGGTTAGACCTTTTGACTTTTTCTATTTATTGTGTCGTATATTCTGCTTTGCTAGTTATCTTTTTTCTATTTCATATTTCATTATTTTGCTTGTCAGAGAAATATAGAGTTCGGGGCCAAAAGGGCAAAAAAATATTGACCAAAGATTCCAAAAGGGCAATAAAAATAAGTTTGAAACCAAAAAGGGCAACATTTAAACGATAGGTTGGATGTTGTTTAAATTAGGGTAGCCAAGGCGCAAACAGACACAGCCTTACAAGGCGCAAGTCAGACGTGCCTTGTAAGGCGCATAGGCCCTGCGCCTTTGACCTTACATAAAAAAAAAAAAAAAAAAAAAAACTTTTTTTACATGCAATTTGCAATGTTCTTCAATTTAAATAGTGGGAAAAGATGTAATCAGCTAATCCAACATGCAATGTTCTTCTTAAATAAATAATTGAGTCAGTGGGACACCTAGCCACTTTGGCATGTAACCCCTTCGATCTCTACCTACAAATTAAAATATTCCCAAAATATCCTTCAATCAATTCTTGATTTGATTACTTGAAAATTACTCACTACTAATCATAATTATAATCAATTGTTTATTTCAAATAATTAATTAAGTGCTTCTTCCATGAACCTTCGTCTTATTTTTTCCTGTAATGTCATATTTCCATTTCCATCTACAGAACCCTTCTTCAACACAACCCTCCTTTTGTTATTACTCTATGTACTATATTGTTAGCATACATAATTAAATTAAATTACTTACTAATTTTGCTTAATTAGAGTTCAAATCAGTTCCATTAGCCGTCTTGTTAATTTTTTCTCTGGTAAATGTTCAATCTTTATGCTACTATTCTTTTGTGGCTTGTCTCTGGTTATGCATGCTTTTATGTTTTATGGCAAATCTTGATCTGGTCGGTCTCTCTGAATCAACTTCGACTTCAAACTTTTTTTTATTACATGCAATTTGCAATGTTCTTCAATATAAAAATTGCATGTAAAAAAAGTTTTTTTTTTTATGCAAGGACAAAGGCCCTGCCTATGCGCCTTACAAGGCACACATGCTTGGACCTTGTAAGACTGTCTGTTTGCGCCTTGTAAGGCGCATAGGGCCCCATGCTTTGCTACCATAATTTAAACGCCGTCCAGCCTACCTTTAAATGTTGCCCTTTTGATTTCAAACTTATTGTTGTTGCCTTTTTGAAATTTTTGGTCAATTTTTTTACCCTTTTGGCTCGGACTCGAGAAATATGCTTAGATCTTGTATATCCTATTGCACAATATCTTGCAACAATAAATAAGAAAATCATTCAATAATGACACTACAATCGACAATACCACCTGAAATCGGGCATAAAACGAGACAAGAAAACAGCTAAGAGAATGGTCGTAGATGGAGAACAAACATACCTACGAAGATCTCTACCCAATTCTTTGTTAGGTTGGGTATGAGTGTTAAATTTTCCAGGTCACGGGTGGGTTTTAATTTGTAGGTGAAAATTAAAATAATTTCAGGTAGACTGTTTAGATGATGCTACGTGTCCCTCTGTCTGCCACAATGGTATACACATCCCAAAAGTTAGACAGTAAGGTTATGAGTAACCTAAAAGTATAATGGAGGATATTGAGGTACCATTTATTCAGGGGTATATTTATCCCTTTTTCAAACATTTGTCTTTATATACTTAGAAATTTATTTTATTGAATTTAAATACTTGGGGAGATGAAATTATAGGTGTTGCATTTTTGGTTGATTAAATATATTTTGCAACACTGCAATGATTTCGCGGTTTGGAGATTTGCTCCTCCTGGCATCTTTTGTTCTATTTTGTTAATCTTGGTTGCAGTACATGAACATCTAGAGAAGCCAAATCGTGTTATTTTTTGGTATATTCATCAATGATTTAGTGACCAAACATTTTCTTTATCGACAGCATGAAATTATGCTACTTTCAAAATGCCCTAAGGCTTTGGTCTGGTGCAACGTGATGTGTGTATTAGGTGTGTGTCGTGGATCAACCCTACCGCAGACTTTGATATTTTAAGTGGAAAAGGGTAGAAATAAGTTTCAAATGTGCCATCGGTCACAGGGATTTTTAAGTTGGCAAGTAAAACTATGTGACTTAAAAAGCTATTAATGAAGTTAATAAGCAGTTTCTCCGGTCAATAGGATTTCAAGAAAGTGGTGATTTCGTTAATGATCGTCCTGTGGTGCTGATATGTAATTTCAGGTGGCTTGGTGAGACTGAGGAAGCGTACAGGTCACTAGCCAAGACAGCAGAGGTACTGCGAATTACTCATGGAACAAACACCACTTTCATGAAGGAGCTTTTTGTGAAGTTAGAAGAAGCTCGTGCGGAGTTCTCTTACAAGATTTCATCCAAGGAAGAATGATTATTGAACTGCATCCACAGATGCATAAACTCTAAGACAATTCTGCAACAAAGGATGGGGATGCAGAAAGCCTTGTAGAACGACATATACAAAATTCTGCTATACCAGTTCAACAAAGGACGGACCTTCTTTCCTGATTATTACGAAGGATTTCTTGCTAGATACTAGTCTCCTTTAGCTGGGAATTGAACTACTATTGTAAGAGGAAATAGGCTATCTTGCAGTTTCTTCTATTATAAGATACACTTGAGTATTGATACAAGGGGTGTAAGGTATGTTTCTCCTTCTGTAGAGTAGTAATTCATTTATATTTTTTTAGACCATTTTCTGCCTAGGGCAGCTATGTTACTAATTTTGGTTTTTGATAGAGGCTGACAAGTTGTGTTAGCTTGGCTACAGTTTTGTAATGGTCTCCTGGTGATTCTTACAATCAGTCTAGTTACCAAATCAAAGAACTACATCTAGCAGCATCTAAAATAACCAAATAAATATAACAGTATAGCATTATCATCTATCATCCATTGCACAAATTGAGCTGTTCTACCAAGTTTCTCAGAACTTGATTTCAAAAAAGAAAGGACTACTACAGTCGTGAACAATACAATAAGAAACTCTTGAAAAACTCTAAGCAGATCAACGATAACGGCGTAGAGACAGAGTCTGGTTCCTCTTCCAGGTTGCCCTTCTTGAGGGTCTTGCCTTGTGGTGCAAGTGTCCTCTTCCTCGGAGACCCCTGTATTTCTTCCCAGCTGAAGTCAGTCCACGAAGCTCTCTATGCTTGTGCACTGGGTTGCAGATCCAGTTGATTCTTGGGTCATTCCTTATAGCAGCATGGGCTGAATCAATCAGGAGCACTTCAAAGTATTTATATGTGGAATCCTGCAATCAACAATGTCAATGTGCACATTATTTTAGTATTACTCAGTTCCATTGTCTTATTAGTCTGCAAGGCAAGAAGTTGATTTCTATGAAATGAGCCCAAAGAGACAGATACCTCATTGATCCAGTAAGAATTGAGGACCTTGAGACCACCCAATTTCCTACCAGCACGCTCCTCAGCAACAGATCGCTTACTACGCTGAAACTTCAATTGGGTGACTCCCTGGTTGGTAGGCTTACCGTACACAATACCCTTGGATACAGGCCTCTTCCTTCCACCACGCTTCACACGAACACGGTAAACCACATAGCCCTGCGAATATTATGGTGCATGGATATAAATCAAAAGAAGAAATAGAAGGTACCAATGATACAATGAAAATAAGTAATGGCAATAAACTGCTAGTTCTAATTTAGAGATGTCATAAATAATAGCATGCACTACAAGGAAAAAATTTGCAACTCATTTATTGGTCCCCATGCATCCAGAAATTTCATATAGATGACAATGAATTTTCATAGCACAGACCTGTTATCAAAAATTACATATACTGCGCTACAATTATTTACACGGGTAATAAGAAGAGACAATGAAAGGGAACACAGATTCAGGGTGTGTTCGGTACAAAGGAAAAATATTGTCCATGGAAATTGTTTTCTAAGAAAATAAGTGAATTTCTAACCTATTTTCTCATTTTCAGTACATAAGCAAAAGATATTGCAAATATTATGGGAGATGGGGGTCGAGATTAGGAGGGTGTGTGGGGATGGGAACTAGAGGATGGGGTAAAGTTATGGCATGTTGGATGGTGAGGAGGGACACAGTCAATGTAGAACACTCCACTTGCTGAACTTGTTTTACATACTTACACGCAAGTCATTTTCCTCATTGTCAAAAAAAATGTTTTCATGTCTTCTCAAATGAACTAAACCAACCGAACATAGAAAAAATTGAAAATATTGTATCTCATTAGAAAACTCAAACTCACGTTTTATCAGACCGATCCAATTTCATTTTCATCATGAAGATAAGGACAAGCTGTTCAACAGTTGTGGATTCAAAAAACTTAGTACACACTATGATATTGATAAAAGTTTGCAATGAGCGCATGACTCAAAAGTCTCAGCAATTATCACTGTCAAATATCAATCACCAAAATACCAAAAGATAGAGAAGCATTACAACAACTTATTTGCCTCAATCTCAAGCAAGTCAGGAATGAATATATGAATCAGTTGGATTTAAGCTCAACTCAGCATCACCAAACCATAGTAAAAAAGAAAAAGTACCTGTTTGGCTTTGTAACCCAAACGTCGTGCCTTGTCAGGACGAGTAGGCCTAGTAACACGCACTATTGATGGAAGCTGGCGATACTCCCAGCACCTCACCCTTTGTAAGAACCTCATCACATCGGACTGCTTCTTCCTCCATAGCTCTGACACGTAAGTGTAGGCGCCTATATAAACAAAACAACCATAGTCATTTTCCAAAAAAAGCAGTCAGACCTCTGCATTTGCGTTTCCATCAATTCCAACCATTACATATGATATTTAACATACAATCAAACATGAAAACCATTACATATGATATTTAACATACAATCAAACATGAAAACTGAATGAAATTGATTGAGATACATACCCATTGTAGTGCGGCGAAACTCTCTGCTCCTACTCAGCTATTCTCGCCAAAGTTCGGCTTTAGGGTTTTGTGAGAGGCGGGGTTTTTAAACGACCTCCTGGGCTGGACTGGACTGGACTAGGCTACGCCAGCCCAATCGGCCCATCGTTCAAAATAGAGTTTCCACCATGTGGACACTTGTGTAGAAGATCCCGTTTGGATTGGCTGAATTTTTTTAAGAAAAATAAGCAATTATGTACTTTGATTATAAAAAAAAATATTGATATATTTGATACACAAGTGTTATTAAGCATTTTTTTGTTAAATGTTTGACCTATCCTTAACATTGTAAAATGCTAATTATTATAAGTTTTTATTTTTAAGAATTAATATCAAATTATATTCTAATTCAATTTCAATATAAATTGATTATATAAGTTAATTTATATGTGTAAATTATTTTTTTTAAAAACATAATTTCGATAAAGCGTATGAAAAATTTAAGATATTTTTTCAATTATATTTATAAATAATAATGACTATATTTTTTTTGCCACAAATTATTTATAAAGAAAAAAAGAAGGTAAAAGAAGGAGAATAATAATAGAAGATTAAACAAAAAAGAAAGAAAGAGCAAGAAGAGGGAAAAAGTGGAAGAAAAGAGGGAGCAAAAAAAAAGGTAAGAAGAGGAGGGATCATAAAAAGGTAAAATTGTTGGTCAAACACATAGCATTTTTAAGTCAAAAAGAAAAAAAAGTAGGGGGATCAATTTTAAGTAAATTTTAACTTATTTGAAGCACTTTTTTATTATTCAAACACAAAATTAAAAACAAATTAACTTTTAAGTCAATTCAAAGACTCTTAATTATTGGTCCTTGTCTGGATTGAATTATTTTAATCTTCTAGTTTAATTAAAAATGGGTAGGTTTTAAGCCACAAATGGAAAGTCCACAACTAACTATTTCGGGACTATTATTTAAATTATAGTTGCAACATATAAAAGTTAGCTAGTTTAGCCATTTCAAAGTAGCTTCAGGTATAACAGCATATGCCTAATTGAATTCTAATATTGTTGCTTAAAGTTTGACCTCAATTAGTCAGGCCAAAACTTTCAACCTTTTTCCTTAAAGCTTGGCAAATCTCAGGCCCTAATTTTTAATATTTTTGTTCGAAGTTTGGCTTGCCAAAATCTAAGTTTCATATACTTATACATGATTTCAAGTATATTTGCATTAATTTTGGACATATATAATTGAATTTCAAACATATATAACTATAATTTGAAACTCCACGCATCTCATGTCTCAATAAGCAATTTATATCCAAAAAAAAGGGAGTGCAAATATAACAACTAACTTTCATTGTTGTAGTTTTCCCTCTGATTTTGAATACCAAATAGGGTTTGAAAATCACTTCTCATCTTACATCATCTCTGCCGCAATAATTACTTTGACTCCTTTTATGCAATTATGAACTCCACAAAATTTAATCAATTCCAACACAACTTATTCTTTTGAAGTTAACGTAACAAACTATACGAGCTTCCCAGGAAACTAAATTTGCATATATGTGACGTGTGTGATTCCCATTAGTGCTTTCCTTACTTCAACTCGTTAGTAAAGGTTGTACTTTGAGAAATTGAAAATCTTGGTTACCTTTGGTTTGTACGTATATTCATGTACCTATTCTAAGGTGCTTTTTAGTTGGAAAAAAGTGGTCCTTTGGTGAGAAGTACGATGAGCTTAAAGATAAAAAGCTTGTGTAATCGATGGGCCTTTTGTCTGAAGTTTGTAAATACTGACCACATGTTAAATAATTGGGAAAACTTTATGAATTGAATCAAATAGACAAAGTATTTATTTAAATTGGACCTAATTCAATATATTTATTTTGATTGGACCTATCACCCAAACTATTTACGCAAGTGCCCTCTTGTTTTATTCATTGAACTATTGCTTATTCATCCTTGATATCATCGGAATATATACATACTTTGATGGTATTAATATCTCTTCCTTCTCGATGCCATCACAGTATATATATACTCTAATGGTATTAAGGAGTAACTAAGCAGTGTTTTCATTGAATTACAGTTTCTTCCTCTTTGATATGATCAGAGTATATATATATACCTTGATAGTATCAAGGAGTAACTTAGTAGTGTTTTCACTGAAACACTGTTTCTTCCTCTTTGATACTATATATATATATAATTTGATGATATCAAGCAGTAAACGTGAATTAGTAGTTAAAAACATGGATATAAAAGTAAAAGAATAGTCAATTTTAAATAATTTATCTTTTTTAGAGTACAAGCGTTCTTTACCCTAAATAATCTCTTTAAAAAAATGTATATAGGTTTAATTGCATCGACCACATAGGTTTTCGTGAATATTTAACCTAAGGCATGGATTCTCGAATTACCAATTTCTGGATCATTTGTTGATATTTAGCTATTAAAATAAAATTTGAACAAAAGTATTCTAGCTAAAATGTAAAAATATAACACCTGACTTAACTTAACCCCAAAAATTAGCTCATGAAGGGAGGATTGTCAAGTCCATATAAAGAGACAGGGCCGACTCAACAAGATTGGGAACCTAAAGCCAAACCTTAAAGAGGGGACCTAATTTTTTTAATTCTTTTTAAAAAAAATAAAAAAAATAATCATGTATATATTTGTTCAAAATCTATTTTTCTAACCTTTTTAGATGTGAAGTCATTAATAACAGTTTTCTAATCGATTTGTTTTAGTAGTTCCTTTTCAACTGATAATATAGCTAATGCATTCAATCTCACATTGTTGATCTTAGAAAAGATTTAATTTTATCAATTTTAGTTTCAAAAATTTTCTTTCGACCGAAGCAATAGTTACAGGATTTCTCTTCATAACTGAAACGAGAATATATATACTTACTAACTAAGGATATCAACAATAACAAAAGTTTAAGAAAAATTGTAAAATAAAATTAGATAATAAAACCTGACTCACGAATTTGATAAGTTGATATAACAATATTGAAATAGTGTTGCGTTGCTTCAATATAATGATTGCTTGTTGCACTTCTTAAGATTTTGAAGAAGACACTCAAAAGCAAATTTTGAGAATAAAAATAATAAAACAAAAATTAAAAAAAATGAGTATAAGGTAAATAAAAATATAAGATCAAATTTTTAGGAGATAAATAAGGAAACACAATTTTCCACTTAAGGGAATTATTTCAACAAATGTTTCATTCCCTTAGAAAAATGGGGAAAGCTAACACTTATATTGTTTTTTTTATACTTCTTACATGTTTTTTTTGAAAAATTTAAAAATACATATAATTTTAAGTAACATGTCTAAGTATTTTTTTTTAAATTGGGGCCCCCAAAAATATGGATTTTTGGGTCCCCAAGCGATGGTCTTAATGACCTAGTGGTTAAGACGGCCCTGTAAAGAGACAACAAATTCATTCTCCAACCAATGTATGACTTTTTACTCACTCTAACACCCCCTTCACGCCCATGCTCAACTGGATCGAAAGACCAAACGAGGATGAACCTGACTCTAATACCATGAATTTTTGACTAGTGAATTTGTTCAAAAATTCCTGAAATTTTGAAGTATGCAGTTCAAATTCGAGTCATTTTTCATGTAACTGAACTTAAACTAGAAGTGTTTGAAGAGAAAGACAAACAAAAAAAAACATTTTGATGAAAAGGTGAAAGTGTTGGCTTGACTAAGTAATCAATCTTGGCAACTAGTTCCGGTGGTCCTCCTTCCTCCTCTTTTACGCTAATGGAAGAAAATAAATACTTTAGAGTGTTTGATAGGAAGGAAAATATTTTTCGTGGAAAATACTGTGGGAGGTCGAGTGGGGATCGAGTAGGGTGTGGGTGGTGGGTATGGGGGTCACGAGGATGGGTGTGAGGACTGGGGGTGAAGATGAAGTGTGTTGAAGGATGGAAAAGATATCATCAAGAATGTTGATCGTCATTTGTTCAACTTGTTTAATTTTTTACTTTCACGAAGGAGGTCATTTTCCTCTCGTGTTTTAAGAACTTGTTTTTCTAGAAAAAAAATGATCAATCATATATAAGAAAACAAGAAAATATTTTTTGATCCTTCGTACCGAACACTCCCTTAAATGTCATTTCACACTAGAGTAGTATCCGTTTAATTTTTTTCCAGAAATGTTAAGGTTTTCCTCTAAAAAGATTAAAATTAAAATTAGAAGAGGCCTCCTTTTAATTAAAAGGGATTGTAGATTACAAACAAGTGACTCGTGTTATCATTTTCATTCTTGTAAGTTTTTGTTTTCAGTGTGTTATTTTAGATTTATTTATGAAGAATGTGAAATTTCATATTGCAATACAGCAGCATCTTTCATTTATTTTATTTTTAGGGAAGAGATTAAATTATCTCAGAATTATTTTAGTACAAATAATTTTCATACTACCAAGTTATATTTTACTATTAGATATTGTCCTAGCATGAATCCAATATATGTTACTTTATCTGTCTAAATCCCTGTGACATAAATGAAATTTGGAGGGTCAATTAAATTTTTTATATGTTTTAACTTGTTAATTTTTATTTTTACGTTTTTATCAAATAATATATAACGTTATTGTTAAGTGTTGTGTGCTTGTAGCCTTTTATTTGATATCAAAATATTTAAAATTGTTAATTACTTTGAGTTTTAGTATCTTTTACATAATTTCCAAATATACCATTTTTCTAAGTTGTTACTTATTATGGTTTAATAGCACTTGAGTACCACTCTGACTATGAAAACTTATTGAAAGATGAGGAAAAAACATAAACTCATTAAAAAGAAAGTAACACAAAAAAAATTAAAATATAGTGAATATTTGATTTATCCGAGTAAACTCCACCTTTGGCTTGAAAACACACTGCTCATTTAACAACTATGTGCTTACTCGATATCAATTCATTTGTTCTATTTATATTTTTAATATATCAAATGATATATTTAAATCTTTTAGGACATTTCTTCAATTTATAATAATATATTTAATTTAAGATCACGAGATTAATCCGTCTAAAAAATAGGAGGAATGTCCTAAAAAAGATAAGAAAAGAAAGTAGTATTTTACATCGTAGTGGACCGTACAAATGCGACGACTAAATCATTCCGTCTAAACCCAAAGAAAGAAAACTATATGCGGCTTCAAATCCAGCCGTTTGAATATACATCTACGGCTTAAATTAAATCAAAGTGGCTCCACAAATTCACTTTAAACCCGGTCCACTATCATCCCTTACACTGTTCCTCTCTCTCTCTCTCTCTCTGTTTATTTTTCTCTCTCTACCAACGCTCTCTCTGTTTCTCGTTTTGCGCTACTTCAAAGCTTGCTTAACCTGCGCACTTTCAACTGCTAACCTGCGCACTATACCTGCCTGAGTGATGAAGCCGCCATTTCAGTTCGTAATAAGAATATCATCAAGATACAGGATGTAACAGTGATCCAACGGTAGAGATTCGCTAATAATGGAAGGTCAGAAAAGCCAAGCGAAGCTTACGAGGACTCATTCTTCACTTCTCCGATCATCTCCGATGCTCCGGTCGTCTAGCTATAGTGTATCTTCTATTAACGAATTGGTAGATGATCATGAACCGGACATTGAAGAACAGAAGCCCCACAGAACCGGCGCAACTCTGGTTCGATCGGCTTCGTTCCGTTTCTGTGCCGGTACGGGCAGGGTAGCTCCTGTTATAGCGGTTTTCTTGCTCTCTGTTTACGTTCTGTTCTATTTCTTCAACAGGGGTGACAGATCCATATCGGAGAATCTGCTTCTAGTACTGATTTTCTTTGCGATTTTGCTTTACTTCGCCGGAAAGAACAAGAGTACAATTCATCAGGGTTATAATGGGTTGAAGATGACGTGTAATGGGTATGGAAGGAAACTTGGTTTAGTGTCCAATAAGCACGTTAAAGTGCAATGGTTCATTGGGGAGCGGAAATTAGATGTGAAAGAGGAGAAGGGGAAAGTGAGAGAAGGAGTAGAGGTTTACAGCAACGGGGACGTGTATGAAGGGGAGTTTCACAAGGGGTGGTGTAATGGTAGTGGGGTCTACACTTACTCTGTGAACAGTAGATATGAAGGTGACTGGATTGACGGGAGGTACGATGGGTATGGGGTAGAGAGCTGGGCTAGAGGTAGCAAATATAGAGGGCAGTATAGACAAGGACTGAGGCATGGCTATGGAGTTTACAAATTCTTCAATGGAGATATCTATGGTGGGGAATGGTGTAATGGACAGAGTCACGGAATTGGGTTCCAGAGCTGCTCCGATGGCAGCTCTTACATCGGTGAATTCAAATGCGGCGTAAAACACGGTCTCGGCTCTTACCATTTCAGGTAAATTAAAAATTAATTTCTTCATTTGAACTTTGTTTGTCATGGAGATCGTTGTTCATATCTAAAAATTCGAATCCCTAGGGTCTTTTTGTTAGGATTTCGATTTAATCTGTCAGATTTACAGATAGGATCAGTGTCAAACTAGTTATGTTCGACTTTAACTCACGCCCCAAAAACTAGCTCAAAGTGAGAAATGATAAGTCCAAATCTTATAAGGAGACCAGGATTCTCGTCCATCATAGATGTGATATCCCATTGCATTCATCAATTAGTGATAATTTTGTTTTACCGTCTGTTGAATTTTGTGAATTTCTTAGCATCAATCAAGTCCAAACTAAATTATGTATATTTGGATTTTTCTCAGAAGTTCTTTCCCTTTAAAGTGCGGTTAGTGAAGTTCTTGATTGTTTTAGCATTTATGAATATTGAGTGGAAGTATTTCATAAGCAACTTGGTGTTTCACTGGATTTGGTGCAGGAATGGGGATCGATACGCTGGGGAATATTTCGGTGACAAGATTCATGGTTTTGGTGTGTATCATTTTGCCAACGGGCATTGCTATGAAGGGTCATGGCATGAAGGTCGTAAGCAAGGTTACGGAATGTACAAATTTAGAAATGGTGACGCAAGGTGTGGTGAATGGGCCTCTGGCAATCTCAATACTCCATTGCCCCCACTTACTGATGTCGTCCTTCGAGTTGTTCAGGTAAAATTTATTTCTAGTCCAACATGATCAACGAAGATTCATATAGTTTGTGTAGCCCCTATCAACATATGCAACTGCTCAAACATTGACTTGTCGTAATCTTGCTGATTTTTTTATGCAGGCTAGTAGAAAGGCAGCAGAGAATGCAATTAACATACGTAGGGTTGATGATCAAGTGAACAGGGCAGTGATAGCAGCAAACAGAGCTGCTACTGCAGCCCGAGTTGCTGCTATCAAAGCTGTTCAAAACAGGATGCATAGAAAAATTTGTGACACTAACAATTGAAGTTTGATAAATGTAAATTTAGTACTACTATTGGTATGCAAAGTATTGAATGAATATTCCAAAGCCACCCTGGCTGGCAAAATGCCTGCTAGAGGTTGAGTTTAATGCTGTAACTTTTAGTTGACAAACAATTATAACTTGTATATACACTCTTTCAATCGCACATGTATATAGAAGATAAGTGTTGTTCATTTATTGGTTTAGTGTAAACATCAAGTCAGACGCTTATTTGACTATAAATATTTTCACAGGTTGATAATGAGTAATTTATTTGAATTTAGATACTCAATAATTATTTGATTAAGTTACCCTAATTTATTTATAGGAAAATGTTAAGATGAAAAATTAATAACGTTTTGGTTTTTAATTTATAATCTTATTAACAAAGCAACATAAAGTCATGCCTTTAATGGAAAGGGGAGAGTGTCAATTGCTATCCTTTTGTAGTGTTCTCAAATCTCAATTATAGATTCTTGGAACTCTTTGTTCTTTTAAGGCAGCTGCCTTTTTCCAAAAAATCAAAAAAGTGAAAAGCTTTACTTTCTTTATCAAAATATTTTGTAGTATGTTATTTGGAAGTCAATTTTTTTTTCTCCGAGTATGTTATTTCTCCAACAATATCAAGATGTGCAAATCAAACAAGATTAAGAAGTAATCAGTCCTAATATTATCATTTTAGGCAGTCCACCATCCAGCCTAGTAGCCTATCTTACACAAATAATTTGTATTTCATATGTCCTGATTTATGTTATATTTTTTAGTCTGTATAAAAAAAGAATGTTATTTTTCTATAAATGTAAACAGTTTAACTTAAAATTTTGTTTCTTTAGTGAAATGATTTATAGATATGCGATCGATGAGCATATAAATTATAAATTTCAATATTTTTCTTTTAAATTTTAAACTTGGATAACCGTATCGAGTTAAACGGTGTCACGTGGATGGGACGAAGAGAGTACTTTTTAACACTTCTTCTTCTTAATTGTAACTCTAATTTCTTTGACTTTCTTTTATAGAATGTGAAAGTTTCAAAATAATGGTTGGAGAAGGTAAGAGTTAGGTAGAAACATAATTACATGTCTACATAATATAAATTCTACTATTAGTTAATTTTATTTTTTATTTTACTTTGATGGGATAATAATTCTTCCAGATCATTTTATTTGCATTTTTAATCGTATAAGTTTGAAATTTGGACATATTATCTATAGCTAAAAATTGTAGGACCATACATGAATGTCACCTAAAATAAAACCATCTTTACAGAAGCAAAAGAAACTAACAATAAAATAAACCTAGCTTGATTTTCACGACTCTATCATCACTCAGAACTCATAATTATTATATTCAGCAAAAAACTAATAAATAGTAATCTTTGTTTTGGATAATTACGTCTTTTTATATGCATATAAAAAAGTTAATTAGGGGTAGGGGAAAAGAAGGAGATTATAAGATAAGAAATCGAGCCCTCATCAATAAAGTGAAAATTCAGATAGCCAACCAACTGAACTATTAAATTTCCCGAATAATTAATTTCAAAGTCAACAAAAACAAAATTAAAATGCCGTAAGATGAAGGAACTCATATTTTAAAACTTAAATAGTTCTGCGTAGTTATAAATCTCAACCGTCCTTTAAAGAATACTAGGCTGATTTGTGAACACATGTACATGTAATTTTAATGTTTTTTTTAAATATAAAATGTAATGTATCATCATGTAGCAACAAATATAATACATCTAGATAGGATATAGTAGGATATAATCTCCTTTTATATATATAATAATATATCAGGATATTATATAATAATGTTTAATGTTTATTTTCAACAAAATATGGCAAGATTGTTTCACTTTCACATGCCCATGTCTAACACATGTTAGAGATGCCAATTGATATTCTACGTTGTATTTAGTCGTCCTTTCCGGTTATAATTTTGTTAATATATAATTTGACTAGTGATCAAAACGTAGAATGCCAATTGATATTCTACGTTTTTTTTTTTTCACACTTTGCGATGACGATTCCAAGATAAAATAACAAAATGTCATTTTTTCTTCCTAGATGACAATCTTTTGTTTTTTTACGCTTTCCTAGAAGCTCACGTCCTTTTTTCGAATAAGAATGTTTACCATCATTTTCTTTTTTTATACCATAACTTTCATTGATTAAGTGAATAGTTCTGAGGAGCCTAATTTATTGCTTAATTATGGCATATCATGATGCTATATTGATATATATTACTTAATGATTTTTACGTATATTACTATTTTTGTGTTCTTATGATTCGATATACATGATAAAGATACGTTGAAACAGTGACAGGAGAATATACAAGTTACAGCCCCAAAAACTCTTGTTACAACTTACAACTAGAATACAATTGATCATATACATATCTCATGATAGTGTATTTAAGACATAATGCTTAATTTGAATATGAGAAATCATGTTTTGATGTGTAAGGACATAATATATTGATATATTAGTCAAATCAAAAGAAAGTAAGATGTGAGAAATTTAACGTCTGTAGAAAAACTTCCTTGCAAGTAATTTATAAAAAAAGAAAACATGTATTTCTCCTTTGAAACATGTTTCAACTTTGCTCAAAGTACAAGGAGCAAATTGCTCTTAGAATTGTGGTCATAACTTGAATAAGATCATGGCATCAGTTTTTCATCGGATACAAGAAAATGGAAGACAAATAACATGTTTTAAAGTCGCTTTGCTTGTTGGTGAGTACCAGCAGAAAAACCTTCAGAATACGCAGTGTTCTTGAACATTGTCTGCACAAACAAAAAGCTATGGTGAAAATAGCATCTACTTTGAGGAACTTTAAACATAAAAAAGAAAAAAAAATCCTAGCCAAACTTGCTGTTCTGTAAACTATGACAGTTTTGGCTTTAAGAAGTATACAGCAAAATCCCAAAACCAAACTTAGTTCTCCCATTAACATTATGACCAGAATATTATTAATATAACATTATGACCTTTGTTTGACTAATATATCTATCAGAAGCGAAATAAATTGTCTTTTTGGATAGGCTCTCCTACCGTTTTATCGTGTAAGATATATTTGTCTGTTGATGCTTAAATAAAAAATTTGAGAACTGCATAAATGTAAATCATACAATATTTCATCACATGGGTTGAGAAAAGAGGAAGTAGGTACTCACAGCTGTGCTCTTTAGCTCTGTTGCAAGTTTTTTCCTAATTGTATTTGATATGACTTCACCGAGTATCTCACCATATTGCTTTACATTCTCCTCCGTTATCTGGATTTGTTTTGGATATAAGTTTTAACTGGATGTACATTTCTCACTAAAATATTTAGTTATGAGCAAAAAGTGTTTCACTAACTTACCTCTGAAAGAACAAGAGATGATGTTCTCTCTAAAAAGTCTTCAACATATTTTTCGGGATCAGCAAACGAGTTTGATAAGCTAACTGCATTTGATAGTTTCTCCTTCCGCACATCAGTTGATGGCTTAACTGCTTTAGCTATTTGAGTAGAAAGAAATATTGACGTCAGTTTCCTTCATGTTTTTCGCAACCACATTAAATTCCAAAATGAAATCCAACAAGATAAGCTGAATAACAATAACCGTGTGGATCCATTGGCACCAATTCATGGTTGAACTTATATTAAACCACTTCAAATGATCCTTTGGTTTCTCAGAAATTTCTAGTTGGAATACAACCACATACACTATCAAGAACGACCATTGTCACGTAAAAATGAAAAGAAAAAATAGACCCCTATAGAAGGAAACCATTAGATAGACACCTCAATGGTCTTATCAACGTTTTGAAATTAACCTTCAAGTGAAAAGTTAAAAAATTCAAATCTCCCCTCTAGACTGGAATGTTGGCAGAATTAGAGGGTTGGAAGATGCTTGAAGCAGATCTGGATGACCATTCCTCTGTGCATCATGGACTATATGGCTAGAAAGGAATAAGAGACATTTACAGAAACATACGCAGATGGTTTTGGGAACTCCAGTGAATCTAATTTCTTGGAGGTTTGGATTCTCACTAGATAGGGTGAAGAAAAGGACAATGCTGACCATCAATAGATTAAGGTGCATAAATCTTGTTCAGATGCAACACTGCAATCAGTAAAGCATTAACGTCGCCATAAGTTTACCTGTACCTCCAGTTGACTTGTTATTGACAGGGGCATGATTCATGTCAGAAACTTGCGAAGGAGCTGCTTTGTCTGATTGACCTGGTATGGCAATTGCATCAGATGGTACAAGAGACGCTAGATCAGGAGGTTGATCCTTTCCTACTGGAGGATTAGCCTTCAAAGTGGGGAAAAAAGTTATGTAAGAAACAGGAGCAAAATTATTTTTCAGACGATTCAGTGATCAAGCATATGAATTTAGCCAAGCTACTAGATAAAAGATCACCTCAAGGTCCACATAGACTGGTTGCTTTCCTATGGAACTCAGAAACTTATCAAGACCGCGAGCATTAAGAGCTGCAAGAAGTATCTCAGTTACATAATCAGAACCAGACAGTCAAACATGTAATGCAGAATTCTGTATTAAGCTCAAATTGATAATCCCCAATATTCTAGTTCTGGAAAAAGAGACTGCAAATTTGTATCTCTCATTAATATTTCAAAACTTCCTAATAAAATGTCATGACCAGTAGGAGACATAATCAGCCACTTTAATTTCCTAATCTCTATTGATTTTCATAAACACTTGCAGCACAATTGAAAGGTATCATTCTCCAAGTAAATATGAAAAGTAAATTGAAGGAATGACACAAAATAAACAAGGGCTTGAAGAGTATTAAAGAGTAATGTACATTAATTTTACAGTTGATAAAAGCAAGAAATCACAGTAAGGCAGTAACAATCAAAATCTCATGTGGTTAGTTCAAGGTAAAAGACACTGATATTTGAAATTAAAGTGCAATACAAAATAAGTTTTTAAGATTGAAGAACACCCACTTGTGAGTGTTGTGACTTCTCATAATTTATTTCTCAGAGCATAGAAAATTACATGTAGTGACAACTTACAACATTACCTCACTAAATTTTACAAAAGGCATTATGTGTGAGAAATAAGACAAACAGAAAGACGATTGAGAGAATGCATCAAGAAAAATGTGTTGTGTCTGGGCTCTTTTATATTCACTCTTTTCAATGTATACCAGTACATGCTGGAACTCTATATACACTTTATACGATCTAATGCTCCCTCTTACAGAAATCATATGCACGAAGCTTGAGAATCTTTTCTATGACAGTGAAAATCACTTCCTATGAGCTTGGTCCTCTCGTGAAACACTGGATTTGATGCAATATAAAGTGCCTTTTAATTGTCACACACAACTTTCATATGATCAATCTTTGCAAACTTCATTCTTTGAGTAATTGTTTGTTCCATATAAGTTCCTAAGAGGCCATCATCATGGCTCGATAGTAGCCATCACGATGACTCAATATTCTTCTTCTACACTAGATCTGACAACCACATTTTATTTCTTTCTCTTCAATACATTAAATTACTAATAAGTTGAGTTTCAAAGTACTTTGATAGCTTCATGGTTTTGGGGTACATTGTTTTGCAATGTATACTTTCTCCTAATATGTGACTTCAGGAGAGATAAGAATCTTGAAGAAAAAAACTATTTGTTTAGCTAAAAAGTCCTCGAAGTATATGAGGATAATGAAAGTGAAAATCTACTACAAAGTGGACCATCTTACCAATTGTTGTATCATTTGAGAGTGGGTGGAAGAAGCAGCATTCCTGTGTTTTAAATCCCTGATCCAATAACAAGGAAACACACCTTGGGAAAAGTAAGAGCAAGTTATCATCTTAAGAACCGTTGACAAAGGATCGTGAAAAACATCAGAAATTTTACTGTAGCTTAGGAAAAGAGTGAAATGAGTACCTTGCTGATTCATTTACAAGTGCAAAAGGGGTGACACAACCAAGCGGCACCTTACATAATAATGAAGAAAAAAACATTAGAAGGGCTTGCCAGAAAAAATTAAGCTGTCAGCAAAAGATATAGAGGAATGATTCTGATCTCTCCACAGCATACATTCTGTTCAAGCCAATAATCTATAAGTTACTTGTTAAAGAAAAAAATTCCACTTCAAAGAATATCCTATAAGTTTGTTGCAGAAGAACATCACCAAATTTAAACAATATTTCCTCTACAAGATTGAAAACTAACTCAGCATCTACAAAACAGATGTTAAAAGGCAAGGAAGTGAGGAACTATCTTTCATTAAGGACCAGCTATTGAAAGGCAAGGAGCTATCTTTCATTAAGGAGGTTCTTACCATCCATGGTTTCTTACTGTCCAAGGTTTTCAAGAACGAAAATATGAAAATTTCAAGTAGGATATAACTTTTATAATGCAATTGCATTGCAGTACTTGTTAGAGTTAAACACAAAAGGTTTCGACAGAGAAATTCAAACACTAAAATTCGAGTTTATTACTAGCCAGATGATTTCTTCATTGACCTCAGCAGTTGTGTAATACCATGAGAAAAATTCTGGTTGAAATAGCAATACTATTTCTACAAAAGAAATCCCATAATCAGTGCATTTCATTTTTTACTCCTTCAAGCACTTTGGAAAGGAGGAGGTCTAAAAAACCTCAAATTTAGTATGCCATGTTCAGTTACACCACCTATGTGATAGGGACTCAGTATAAAAGTGGACTGAGGTATCATGTAAGTCTTGAGTCTAGAGTATAAGATATAAGCTTAAAGATAAGTTTATCCTCCCTTCTTCAAAACTTAGTTGACCCATTTTCCTTTTATTCTGTCCAAGTTGACCCGTTTAAAATGGCAAAATATTCCATCTTCAAAAGCAACTTTATATAGGTTAATAGTGCTTCGTTTCTGATGGCATGTAGCAGTTGTACAAATCGCAAAACAGGGTCTAAAAACTAACAGTAAGACATAAGAAAATCCAGAAAACCAGGGGAAGGGGGGAGAAACAGCACACAAAGACATACCTGAAGTACTTCTCCAAGTGCTTCTTCAGGAGCCATTCTTAACCCTCCTTTTCCCAAACCAAGCCTCTGAGACAAAACTGCTCAGTTTCAACAGAATGCATACATACGTTAAAAATCAAAATACTTCAGATTTACATAAAATGGAGATATGGCATGTAGTACAGCAGCAGTCTCTACTAATACACAAAATATGATCATTGGTATTCTGTTCCTATGCACATCACTCATATAAGAGAAATTTTATGACATTGTCCCAAAGTAATGGAAACCAAAGAATGGATACCTTTCAAATCTACATTGGTTTTTGCCATTGCAGAAACAACATAGAACCTGTGTTTCTTATCCTGCATCAGAAATAAGGTGTGCATATTATATTTTAGCACAAGAGCTTGGGTGGATTTAAGTTGGAGTTACCAACTTCTTTTGACTTAAAAGAAGCTAACATACAAATATTTCCACATTTAGTCTGCCATACCTTCAAGAATAAGTTTTTACTCAATGCCCCATTCAGATGCCCAACATGCTTTGCCTGAGCGAATGAGAACTTAAAGCTGTAAATTGTTAATCAAAATGGAAGAACAATTAACAGGGATTCAACATATTTACTTACCTGTGCTTCAACTGTCAAAACCACTGGGTGTTCATGTTTGGTGAAATCAAGTTGAAGTTCCTAAAAAGAACACAAAAATATTGATTACTTACAGTAAAGTTCTTGCTGGCATAACATCCCATCCTCGAGGATGCTAAGAATGACAACATATTCAAGTTATCAACAAAAGACAAGATAAGCTATTAGTACTTTGCAACAACTTTAACATTATTTTTGAATAAGACCCTCTTGACTTGGAATTAACATTTCCAAATACATACTAAAACAACTAGAGATCTGTAGATGCAGATGGAACCTGTAAACGGGCAAGCAATTGCTCCTTAGTATAACCCATTTTGTCTTTGTGGAGATCTTCTCTACAAGTCCACTCTCTGCAAATAACACCCAAAAAAAATATTATTGGAGATATTACAACAACAACATACCCAGTGTATCTCCACAATTGGGGTCTGGGAAGGGTAAAGTGTACGCAAACCTTATCCCCTACCTCATGGAGATAGACTGGTAGAGAGATTGTTTCCGAAAGATCTACAGCTAAAGTAACACATGAAAAGGCAATTTGAAAAAAAGACAATACAAAGGCAAAACAAGGCATAGAAAATAAGACATAACAAATACTCCCTCTGTCCCATTTTATGTGGCAACATTTGACCGGGCACGGAGTTTAAGAAACAAATGAAGACTTTGAAATGTTTACCAAATTGCCCTTTAAAAAGTAGACTCAATTTTCTCTCTCCTCATAAATGTATTGAAGTATTATTTTAAGATTAAGTGAAACCAACAAGGATAAAAAAGGAATTGTACTTTAAATACTTACTACTCCCTCCGTCCCTATTTACTTGTCCATATTTCCTTTTTTAGTTGTCCCTATTTAGTTGTCCATTTTGACAAATCAAGAAAGGACAACAAATTTTTTCCTATTATACCCTTATTTACACTTCTTGAAAATTGTAAAAGTGTATGTTGTTTCCCTCCAATTTATTTCACTTTAATTCAAATAAGTGGTTGTAATTTTGAAGTGAAAAGTTGTCATAAGGGTAAAATTGTAACTTCACTGTGCTAATCATTGTTGCCTTAATCTGTGTGCCATTTCTAAAGTGGACAACTAAAAAGGGACGGAGGGAGTATATAAGGAAATGTGACATTCTTTTTGGGACTGACCAAAAAGGAAATGGTGCCACATAAAATGAGACAGAGGGAGTAATAGAGAATGCATAACAGACAAAAAAAAGTAGAATAGTATGATAAACGAAGCACAAGAAGCAACAGGTAGTAGCACTATTCAAAGAACAATAAACTACAAAAACAATGCTAATACTATCTACTCACCAAGCCTACCCACAAGGAAGCAAGACAATCTTCAACTACATTCTACCCTAATTCACGACATCCATATTCTCTTACCTAAGGTTATGTCCTCAGCAAGCTGTAGTTGCGTCACGTCCTAACTAATCACCTCTCCTAATTAATTCTTCGGCCTACCTCCTATCCCTTGCAATTAATTACCAATAAATTTAAGGGCCTCTGGGGATGGACTGACCTAGATTTTGGGCATTAAGTTAATTAATTGATCTCAAATGCTTATATTTGGTATGGTACAAAATTGATATTGGCAGTATAAGTACTTCTTATTCTCTTTCTCCTTTTCTCTTGTAAGTACAACTTCTCAAATTCTCAAAAATAGATTATTACACCTTTCGACTTTTGTCACAAACAGTTTATGCTCTCACCAACTATGAAAAAAATCTCTACAGTTTAAGTTTCTAGAAAACAGAACAGCAATACTCAAAAGGCAGAGTAGTACACAGCTTAGGAGCTATTATCACATGGAAGCAAATAAAAGAAAAAACACATTCTCATAAAATTCACAAATACAAGTCGGAGCTGAAATTAGGCAAAGCATTTGCTCCGATTCACATTAGGTAGTTCTCCATTAAAAACTCATCGGAAAAAATGGGTTAAAAAAGTTACAGTCGGAAATGGAACTTACAATTAGATTTCGCCGCAGAAAGGGATGGAAGAAGGGCGAATCCGCAGCTCAGAAAACTTTGCCTAAATTTGGATTTGCTGTTTCTTATTATACGACTTTTTGGCCCAAATAGCTCCACAATTTTAAGTGTTGGTTTATCTTGGTCCTTTAAGTATGAAAAAGAGATAGAAAACTATTCCAGGTTAACAATTTTGGTGCACTGTTAGTCCTCAACTTACGGATCTAGACGGAAGTTGACTATCTAACGGAATTGCATGACCAGAGCTTAGGGTGTGTTTGGTATGAAGGAAAATGTGGAAAACAAGTTGATTTTTGACTTATTTTCTCATGTTTGGTTGGTGAGTAGAAAATATTTTCCGAAAATTTTTTTTAGTGTTTGATTTATGAATGAAAAATATTTTTGAGAAATATCTTTTATTTTTACTAGAGTAGAAAATAATTTTTGAAATTGAAAATAGTTTTTAAAAACAAACTTAAATTTTTTTTGGGGGGTGGGTGTGGTAGGGAGTGGGTGAAGGGGGGAGTCGAGGGTAGGGGTGAAAAATTGAAAATTTTTGAAGTTAAAAATATTTTTGAAAAACAAACTTGAAATTATTTTTTGGGGGTGGGGGGAGCTAGTAGGGGGGTGGGTGGGGGTCGAGGGTAGGGGTGAAAAAATGAAATTTTGAAATCGAAAATATTTTTTAAAAACAAACTTGAATTTTTTTTTTTTTTTTTGGGGAGGGGGGTGGAGGGCTGGTAGGGGTGGGTGGGTGGGGGTTCTAGGGGTGAAAAAATGAAATTTTGAAATAAAAAATATTTTTTTAAAAAAAACTTAAAATTTTTGTGGGGGTGGGTGGGTGGGTAGGAGGTGGGTGGGGGGCTCAAGGGTAGAATGAAAAAAATGAAATTTTGAAGTTGAGAATATTTTTTAAAAACAAACTTAAATTTTTTTTTTTGGGGGGGAGGGAGGGTTAGGGGTGGGTGGGTGAGGGGTCGAGGGTAGGGTGAAAAAATGAAATTTTGAATTTGTAAATATTTTTTAAAAACAAACTCAATTTTTTTGGGGTGGGGGGGGGGGGGGGGTGACCGGAAAAGGGGGTGGGTGATCGAGGATTGGGATGGAAAAAAAAAATTGAAGTTGAAAATATTTTTTAAAAACAAACTTAAATTTTTTTCTTTTTGAAGGGGGTTGGGGGCTGATAAGGGGGTTGATGTGGGGGGGGGGGGCGAGGGTAGTGGGTGTGGGGTAAAAAAATAAAAAATTGAAATTAGAAATATTTTTTAAAAACAATTTTTAATATTTTTTTGGGAGGGGGTGGGGGTAGGGCTGAGGGTAAAAAAATTGAATTTAAAAACAAGCTTTAAATTTATTTATTTTTTATTTGGGGGGGGGGGGGGTTGGTTGGGGAGTGATTTGAGGGTAGGGACAAAATAAATTAATTTTTTCAACAAAAAAATAATTGTAATTTGAAGTTGGAAGAGAGTTTTGGAAAATGTTTTCCTTAAGTTTAGAAGGGAAGTCATTTTCCTTTAATTTGAGGAAAATGAATTGATTTGGAAAACATTTTCCAAAACATTTAGCCCAACCAAACATGAGAAAATTGGAAAACATTTTTCGGAAAATATTTTCCTTCATACCAAACACACCCTTAGTCTTTTACCCAAATAGTCCTTTTAAGGTTTGGTTTTACTTCTCTTTGAAATGACATTGGGCAAATAATATGAAAATGTTTAAAATAAATTAATTAAAGTTTGTGAAATGATTTAAATCTGCCTTTCGGAGGGTCAAATATATTCATGTTTTTACCACATTAGTTCAATATTCTTATTCATTAACCGTGATAACTTTTAGATACATGAATTTTTTTTTATAAAGTAAAATGATTAAATTTACCTTTGAACCGAGTGAGATAATCCATAGGCTAAAATTGTGTAGCTATATTTGCTTTAGTATTAGAAAAGTTGAAACGGAGCTCTAACATTGATATTAATGATTTGAGAAGAATTGGTGATGGAGTTGTATCAATGAAGTTCCAACAAGATTAGAAGTTTTAACTTGATGGTGCAATTGTTTATTAATTGAATTTCATTTGAAATAATTTAAAGTATGAGGATGATTAAGTTGAGCTTAAAAGACTTTATTTATCTTAAAATTCAAGTTATTTCGAATTCACCTAAAATCAACACTTCTACAAGTTAAGTCAACTTAAATACATATATATTTTTTTATTAACTAACTATTTAAGCTTTGTGTCAAATCACCATACAAATAAACTGAAACAATGTATTTTAAAAATGGAAAAGGGTCAAATATACCCCTATACTATAGAAAATAGTTTATATATATCCTTCGTTATTCTTTCGGGCCAAATATACCCCTCCCATTATACTTTGGGCCAAATATACCCTTTATTCGTTAAATATGTGGGTCCCAACCTTAGAATAAACATGTGAAAGGTTGGGATTAATTTTAAAAACTCAGACCATTTTTATCCAGTTAATACCCAAAATACGTAATTACTTGAAGGGTTGAGATTAATTAGATGGACCCAAATAATTTCTGTCCCTGCCAACAACAAAAATAACCCATAACCCAACCCAATAAAGCTTCAAATCTCAACAACGGAGTAATGTAAAAGTTATTTTCTTCAAATCAGTTTCTATCACTTCGATAATAATTGTATTCACTTAACTTGATGATTCTCAACATCCAAACACACATAATACTTCAAAAATCTCAGTAACTTAATCGATGAGTCGACAACAAAAAATTATTGAAGAACTTTGATTTTTCAATCTCTATTTTTGAATTTAAAGAACCCAAAAATTGAATTCAAATTAATCGTAGTAGACGAGAAAATCTCAGCTCAAAGAAACAATAACCTAAATAATTTTCCAGTACTCGATTGATTTACAACAACTTTCAATCACAAACTTTAAAAGTTTATCGGCCACAAATTCAAAAGACAAATCCAGCAACTTTGTTTTCAACTTCTCCACCTATTGTGCATTCTAATTTTAGCACATCAATCCAAATCAATGGAGTTTCAAGCACCGCCTTAATTGAACTTTCAAAAAATTCAGAATTGAACTCAGATAATAAACTCAACAAGAATAGTAGAACACACAGAGATTTTTTTAAAATGTTTTGTATCTCAGAAAAAAAAAATAGGAACAGTAGTTATAAAAATGAGCTTTCATGTATCAGTTGACAATTTTTTTTTACAAACATTTAGTTTTGGTTTTGTTTGACTTAGAGATGATTTGGCAAATAAAGTATTTTAGTGAGTTATTTTGGATATTAACCGGATAAAAATGATCTGGATTTTTAAGATTAATTCCAACATTTCTCATGATTATTCTAAGGTTGGGACTCACATATTTAATGGATAAAAAGTATATTTGGCCCAAAGTATAACGAAAGGGGTATATTTGACCCAAAAATATAACAAAAGGTATATTTAAACTATTTTCTATAATACAGAGGTATATTTGACCATTTTCCGTTTTAAATTTTTTTACTCCATAAGATATACTAGTACATTTTGATTACATAGCGCCAAGCTCAATCCACTCACGTAAATCACGTGTCAAATATGACACAATACAATTATTCTCACCTACCTACTATATTGAAACTAACCAAAATTCTATTCTTACCAAAACTGTCCGATTCTGCAAATCCCAGTTTACTTACAGATACACTGTATGCTTTATAAAGGTATGAGATTTCTTTCTTTTTGTGCGTATGAATTGTGATTGCTGAGAGAACAGGGGAGGAGAATGAAGTTGATGGAGGTATTAAAAGTAGTTGTGGTGGTGGCTATGGTGATGATGATGGCGGTGGAAGCAAATGGCTAGAATTGCCGAATTCAGAGACTAAGTGTGTATATGAGGATATCCGTAATAATGTTGTTGTTTTGGGTGAATATATTGTCATCCATGCTGATGAGGAGCACGCTCAAGCTAATTTTATTCCAACTATCTCTGTTCGGGTAATTAATTAAATCCATGTATAGATTTGGGGATTAATTTTCTATATGAACCTTGATTAAGTTTTATGGGTTCAAACATTGAAGGTTCTTAGAAGTGATGGGTTCATAATTTATGCTCTGTGGTAAAATTCAGAATCTAATGATAGGCTTGGTTACTGAAATATTGGGATAAAAAGAATTTAACTTACCAAAGGGTGGAATTAGAGGGTTCAATTCACGAATGCAAGGGTTCAATCTATATACTCATTTATTGATATGCTTTACTTGATCCAGCCGAGGGTCTATCAAAAAAAGTCTCTCTATCTTCTCAAGGTATGGGTAATGTTGTGTGCATCTTCTCCAGATCCCATTTGTGAGACTACAGTGAGTAAGCTATTGTTGTTGTTTTAAGAGTTCGAACTATGGAGCTAGTGCGAGAGAATAATTGATTATGAGAGCAATTCATGGTGCAACTATGTCGAAATGTATCTGCAAATATCAAGTTTTTATGCCGTGTTTAAGTGTTGTAACAACATTTGGATCATTTTAATTCCCATCAAATTGCGTAATCGATTAAACATACATACATGATTACTCTTATTAAAATTCTTAATTCAGTTCAGATTAGCAATGGCAATATGATCTAAACATTCTTTTCAGGTTACATCACCATTTGGAAACAACCTCCACCATGAAGAAAACGCCATTTATGGTCGATTTGCTTTTACAACGTTTGAGCATGGAAACTATTTGGTGTGCTTTCGGATGAATAGCCACGTCCCAGGTAATAAAATGCGGCTATATCTCTTCAGTGGAAAATTGGAATTGATGCCAGGGATTGGGATTCAATTGCTCGGAAAGAAAAGATAGAAGTAAGTACGTACACAATGACATTACCATCCTCCTGGTACCAATCTCAGTGCCCTTTAATTTTTTTAAACTTGTATTGTTTGCTCCTCTTTTTCCTTGTAGGGCGTTGAACTTGAGTTGATGAAATTGAAAGGGTTGGGGCAAGCCGTCCATGAAAACTTACTGTACCTGAAAAAGAGGTAATTTACGGTTTGAATAAGCAGGGGTTACTATAGTCTCCCAAAGTTGATGGCGTAATTTTAAGTAGTAGAAGATCCATGCTATAGCAATTGCTTGTGGATCGAATTTGGAG